CCGCGGGTTCGAGACCCACCTGGGCAACTTGGCGAGACCTCATCTCTACAATAAATCAAAAATCAGTCGGGCGTGGTAGCGCGCGCCTGTAGTTTCAGCTACTCGGAAGGCTGAGGCGGAAGGATCGCCGGAGCCCAGCAGATTGAGGCTGCGGTGGCCGGGAGCGGTCACTGCACTTCAGTCTGGGCGACAGGGTGAGACTCCAACTCAAAAAACAAACAAACAAACAAACAAAACCTCACCCCTCCCGAGCCCGTGTACCACAAACACTGAGCACACGACCCCCCCCCACGCACCCCCCCTTATGAATCCTAAACCCGGGCCAGACACTCTACCCTGTGATGAACATCCCACCCCCCGCACTCCAACACCACTGAGCCTCATAAAATCCCGAACCAGACACTATATCGGTCCTAAGTACCGCCTGCCCCTTTTACAAGCCGAGGGCTCCCTCCCTCGACAGTCGGGATACGGTCGTGAGCACTCCAGAACCCCAATCGCCTGGACGCCGAAGGCTCGGAGACCCCACCGGGTACCTCCCAATACACCTCCAGCCGGGAGCTTCCCAGTCTTCCTGCCAAGAACAAGGATCCACTCTACACCCGGCCCACAGAGCGTCCTCATTCTGTAAGAGACAAAACCTCCACTGGGACAAAAACAAACAAAAAAATCAAAAAACTTCCAGGGATATAAGCACGCACTGACCTGATTTTCTCCAGATCCACCAAGCGGGCCCAAACGCTCTACTTCCGTAAACTCCGGGACACTCGACACAATTTCCGGGTCAACCTACGGCGGCTGAGGAGGGTCTTACATGAGCACCGACGACGGAGTTTCCGGAAGTGACTGGGATGAAATATGGCCGCTCCCTCTTAGTCGTAGCTCCAAGGGGCAGCCATGTTTGCATACCTGACGTACAGAAGACGAAGTGGCAGCCTCTGGTGCCGGTTGCAACGGAGATAAGCCACAAAAATGACCTCATTTCCTGGCACTTCGACTCTTGCGGGAAATGGGTAGATTTCCAGACATTCAAATTTTACAAGGCAAATATAGGGCGGGCTGAATTCAGTTTAGCGAGCTGGGCAGGAATATGGCCTTTACTATCTGCTTTGTTTAAAAACCAAAAAGTTAGCTGGGCGTGGTGGCACACGCCTGTAGTTCCAGCTACTTGGAAGGAAGGGGCTGGAGGGCCGCCTGAGCCCAGCAGGTGGAGGTCGTAGGGGCTGTGATGTGTCATTGCACTCCAGCCTGGGCGACAGAGTGAGACTCCAACTCAAAACAAACAAAAAATCAAAAGAATGTCAGGCGTGGTGGCTCATGTCTGTGATCCCAGCATTTTGGGAGGCCGAGGCAAGAGGATTGCCTGAGCCCATGAGTTTGGGACCAGCCTG